TAATGACATGAATCTGCCTGCCAGTTACTAGTAGTCACACACTCCATGTGTTACACGCTCTTAGTGTCTAATTGAAACAGTTTACAACATCTCAAACATGAACATACTGAGATGCTCTATTATTCTGACATATTTTATTAAAAACAAAAAATAAATGTCTCAACTTAGCAATATTTATTATAAAATGTATTTTAATATTGATAACTATATTACACTACTGTTCAAAAGCTTGGGGTCAATTGATACTTTTTTATTATGAAAGTATTATCATAGTTGTATTAATATCTAGTTCAGTCATGAAACTCTAGAGGGCGCAGTCTAACAGGTCCTTTATATGCAATCACATCATTACAGCATGGCACAAGCTGATTGGCCTCTGTTGATCCTGCAGCCAATGAGATTGCTTGCTCAACATTTAAATAGTCCGTTTAGTCTTGCAGCACACTATAAGAGTTACTCTGTGGGTACATTTGCACGACAATGATATGCTTAAAACAGAGAGCTTTTCTTGAGTTTTCCGCGTAAAGACGACACCCATTCACACAGATGCGACTAAAAACCCTATCTGCTGCCAGGCCATTAGATGGCGATGAAACACTAATAGACCGAATGTGCATGACGTCATCGGCTTTTTTGTTGTTTACACAGAGACAGTTTTCAAAAACTTCCACAATGAAACTATTTTCAAAATTTGTTTTCGGGCACCTAAAAATACCGTTGATGTGTAAATAAACGGCCAAAACGCATAAAAAGTTTTACGTTTTAATTGAAAACGGTGCCGTGTAAACAGCCCTTGAAACTCTCCACCTGTCTATATCTGCTACAGGATTTATGTATGACTATTCATGCAGCAGTTGCCATATTCAATTATATGCTAAAACTACTCCAGAGAGTTGTCATGATTAAATATTTAAACTCGAGAATAGTTTTAGCATGTTATTGAATATGGCAACGGTAATGTATTTATTCTTAGAGGACTAGATCTGCTGTGCTGCTAATAGATTGTTGTGAACATGTAAGATATGCTGCTGCTGCATTAAATATAGTCATACATAAATCCTGTAACATATATAGGCAGGTGGAGGGTTTTAAGAACTGTTAATATAAAAATATTGCAACGGTTCAGTGAATTCACCCTTGTGTCTTCTATCCCAAACAAATAAGCCGCAGTCATCAGAGCAGTCACCTAGCAGATACTATAGTCTTGGAGAAGGCCAGGGAAGACACTGGAGTTTTCTGCATCACGAACAGGCATACACGTCTAAGATCGAGCTCACCAGCATAGCACATCACATTAGCCATTCCATTTGAGCCTCTGATCCATCTCAGAAGACCAAATTACATTTGACAGGTGGTCCCCAGACAGTGCCACTTGACTTGCTGCGATAAATGTGCAGTTTTTTCATCAGAAGCCACCTGCTTGCAGGTCATCTCTCTGCTAGCACAGCGAAGTGGGAGGGAGAGAGACTAAATGCTTGTCAGACATGTTTGATGGCAGACACAATATTCAGCAGTCAGTATAATGACTCAATTTTGCTGATGTATTAATGTGTTCAATCGTTATCTACATGCATCGAGGGCTACAAGTAATGTCCTCTTGGTTAGCAAATGTAATTTTATTTTAGGTTTGCGTAATATTCTGAGTTTACATTTCACTTTTTTTATTCATTTTGAGGAACACTGAATTTATTTTGTGGAAGTGAGATGAGTAAATACATGATCACATTTACATCCAGATTTACTAACAGCTTGTGTCACTCAGTGCAAACCCTCTTTTGGTGTTAAAAACTACTGTCAGGATATATTAAATACAGGCCGTGAACAATAAGCACTGAAAAGAAAAAAGTAACACAAGTAGGCTATATGCTCATGTGACGTGAGTAACATTGGTTTCGCTCTGTTTCACAGGACCAATATATGCTGTTGTTGTAATGTCAACTATAGTAACAAGACAGTTTTGAGTGTCATTGTTTGTCTAGTGCTGGTGTGCTGCTGGTGACTAACAACAAATGCTTGCTTTTATATACTCTTGTGTACTGTATGGTATGTGTTTGTTCTTAATATTCGTTTTATTTTTCGCAAAGCATTATTTTGCTCCGCTTCAGCTATTATAGAGATTCCTCCACTATTGCATTGACTGTGGAGGAATGAAGGGATTCTCAAAACTGAATGACTGAATTCACAGAAATCGCTTACTGGACAATCAATGATACAAACCACCATCCAAGAAATCTCACTGGTGTCAACAACTAAAACAAGCTTTTTAAAAGATCTGAACACAAAGAGACTACACAGGAAAAGGGCGAATTTCCTCTCGGCTTGCCAGCGTTGCGATGCCAAACCTAATAGCGTGGGTGCAGGGATCACATTCTAACATCACAGTGGGTTTTTGGGGCACTGAAACCAGATTTTAACCTCTTCTCTTAAATGTCCAATCGCAAACGGCAGCCATGTTTCTGAAGGAATGCCAAAGAGATATTAAAAAAGCAGCTTCAGGAATGAAACACCTCGTGGGATTTCCTGCAGCAGGTTGAGTGAGCTGATAAGGGCTCGCTTGCTGTAACAGGGCGGCCGATCGGGTACCGGTGTGGAGGGGACAATGCCATAAAGCCTATCCAAACCCTGTGGACACACCTCAGTAACGCTGAAAACAGGTCAGCTACAACACAACAAGAGCACAAAAGAAATCTGAGGACTGTAAAACCTTTGCACTGCATATATACACTTACGCAACAAGCAACAAGACAGCTACCCCAACAAGCAGCAGATAACTCACTCGATGCAAGCCATTCACCTTAAACACACTCCACCACAATGAAGAAAAACAACATGTGATATCCGGCTATTGCCTCATCTTTTATACTGACACACCCAAGAAGATTGTTACGCTTAGTTTGCAACTTAAAATGATTGTCTCGAGCTCAGCAAATCAGAAAGTTGTTCAAAAGACAACATGTGCGCTGCTATATTCACCTTCACTCTTACTCATCGAGAGACAGATGGGCACTAACAGTGACTTAATCATCATATTAAATATTCTGGTTTAGTGTGGGCCGCTTAACCTACACACAGAGCAGAGGGAGTTTAAGCTAAGAAAAATATTCTCGTTTAGCAGAATCCTCTCCATGTGCCCGCAGTCAAATGGGAATTGCACACCTGGGTCACTGATCAAATGTTTTTCAACTTGTCAAGGACTCAATGTCAATTGTCATTGGACTCAATGTCAAGCCAAGACTTTATGACCTTTTAAATGTGTTACTAGGGTCTAGTAAGAATTTTGTTACTTAAGTAGGGCAATATTAATCACAATAAAACCAAAATCACAATATGCTTTAGTGCAATTTAATTAAATAAAAACATGCAATAAATTTTAGTTTCAAATTGAAAGTCTTTTTTTTTTTTTTTTTTTTACATGTGAGCCAGTCATGATAAAGTGTTTTCAGTGTCTCACAGAAGTTCGGTTCACAGCTTTCAAAAAAGCATTTTTTATAAGAATCAACTGCAGTTTAGAGTCATTATGCAACATATCCATTTGCAGAATTCAGCCATCAACCAAAACAAATGATATATTCCAGAGAGTTGTGAAATGAAGTAATACATTTAAAGTTGATAAGAGGCTGGTTATGGCTAGAAAGAAGTCAACAAAATGAATGTGTAAACATGAGGACACAGATACTAAGGTAAATTGATACATGACACTGAATCTTATTTTATCTTTTGGGCAACAAGCCCTAAAATTAATCAGTTAAAAAAAAACAAAGCTGCAGCTTTTTTCCTGACAAGTCTGCATCTGAAAATATAGTCTACTATGTGTTTCACTAGAAGAAACAGCCTATCAGCGCAGAGAGCAGGTCCAGAGCCTTGACAGCTGGCCCGCCCAATCAGAAAGAAAAAAAAATACTAGGCTACTCTGTAGAGTTAAACATGTTATTTCAATAGTCACATTTTTGTCCCGCCAAAGTCTTTTTTGATCGGTGAGTGATGTAGAATTCAATGACAACAAAATAGAAAGAGGGAGAGAGAGAGAGAGTGAGAGAGAGACAGCCCCGGCCACGCGTGCGCACTCTCACGTCTTCAAACAACACGAGCGCTGTTTTGCTCTCTCTCTCTCGTGCGCGCATATTAATCAAAATCAATTGACATAAGAGTAAAAGGTGGAAAAAACGCAGTTTCACGTGGAGCATTTGGATATTTTTTTCACCTAAATTACCGCGGTGTGTGAATTGTGCTTAAAAAACATGTTGCCTTATCTTCTCTAAAAAGCGTTCCGCCCATTCAGCTGACATAAACCACATTTCAATAAACGATAAAACCTATCCACTCCAGTGATTAAATGTTTTCTGTATTGACGCAAATCTTGTGCAATGTCCTAAACTGCCGAGATCACAAAAGCGTGCCGTGGCTAGACGTCCACTAATGACACGTATACACAAACGAATGTTCACTTTAATGAATAGTTAAAACAACTGACCTGTCCAACACTGAGCTCACGAGACCACTGAATCGGTGTATATATATATATATATATATATATATATATATATATATATAAAAATAAAAAAAATTGGTAACACTTTATTAGATTAGTTAACATTTACTATTTATTTTCATACAATATAATCATGGAGGTGCGGGCACGATTGCACTGCAAGTGAACTAGAGCACATCTCATCATACATTTTGCTAATTTAAATAATAAATGTATGCATGTGTGTGTGCATGCATATATATAAAATTGCACAGCTCCCCCTGTCAATGATCTAGAACCCCCTCAGCACCCGCGTTAAAAATGATCTGGCGCCACCCCTGCATAAGAACGACGTAGTGATAAGAAGGTTTCAGAAAACCCAGCCCTGGATTCGGGACACCCGTAGATTCAGGCCCACCTCAAATTAATCCAGGCCTACCCATCTGTCACGTTCTGCATCCGCCAACGCCAGAGAGATGGTGAGCTGCAATTGGAATGCATACTGCAGAAATGTGAAGGTCAGCATACTTACATCTCGGTCTCATATTCTTCACTGTCTTTGTCATTCTTCTTGTCTGGCACTTCATTTGCAGACTGGTGCTTCTGAACTATCCTCATGCCTCCTCCAACTTTCACTGTCACAAATTAACAAAAACAAATTCAGATTTTTTTCCTGCATTTATTATATAAAGTTATAAAATGACATTAATCACAAGCGTCTATTTAGTGTGCAACAGGTTTCCCTTGGCCTACTTTTAAGGGTCATTACACATGTTGTTATCTGATTTTCTTGTGTACTTTACACCGCACTGATAGATATGCTGACGAAGTGAAACACAATGTGAAATCACACATTTACACCACGTGAAAGGAAAAATATGTGGGGGAAAAAATTATGCCATGTGTCACACGTGGTTGATCGGAACATACACTTTTCTTTTACAGACGAATGATTACTTGTGGCATGCAATGTGTAAGCATTTCCTATCAGCTCAACCCTGCACTGAGGACACTCCATGAAAAGTATGCCTTTCACATCACTTATGACCATATGGGTAAGCAATGAAAGGCTGACACCATCTTTTACTCTATTATTATAGGTATTTTGCTTGACACATCAGCAGAAATTCAGCAATTTTAGTCTATTTTTGTCAGATGCCTTTTATGGCTCATCCCAGCCCTGTAATTATATATTTCTATACAAAAATAAATGTATCTGGTATAATATTCTTATTCTCTCCCCATATCATTTCCTAAAATTAAAAATTATTAAAATAACATACCCACTTTCAGAATTTAACTCTTTAATTAGCCAAGCATGTTCCTTTCGGACAACAAACTGTACTGAACTATGGGTATTGTAAATATCAGCATATATATATATATATATATATATATATATATATATATATATATATATATTTTTTTTTTTCTTCTTCTTCTTCTTTCTTAAACCTACAGATGACAGGGCCCAGAGCACAAGGTTAATATAACTGGCACCCTATTCACTTTTTTTTCAGAGACAAAGCTATAACCCAACTAATAAGGCCCAATACAATTTATTAGCATTAAATCTGATGCAATGTCTAAAATCTACAGAGATGCAAACAAAACCAAATTTTCTAAAAAAAAGGGGCACAAATTTGTCGGAATGATCCACTAACATTAGACCTCCCAGCAGAAAAACAACAATAGCTAATCAATAGCATAACAGTTACATTACCAGCAGGAAGATGTCCAGCTTTGGTCTCGGTTTTCTCTTTGGGCGGCGATGACATGACTGCTGTCAAGCGCTTCTTCCAAAGAGTCGCTTCGTAGTCTTCAAAATAAAAACAATTCTCCTGTTTCCTGGATGAAAAACAACGCAGACTACTGTCGACTTCGTCAACGTGGCTTTTCCCTGCCCATTGTTTGGCAACGGTGCGTGATGACGGCAGTAGTCTCTCCAACCAATAAGAGCGTTTATTGAGGAAGGACGTTCCTCCTCTTTTCTATGGAAAGTCTGATGGAACACACGGAGAAAATCAGAAAATACAAATCTGCATGCGCTGTGTATAGATTAGATTTGATCTAATAAGCTTACAGGTCGCATATTTTGGAAACAGGTGATTTAAAGAAATTTAAAATGAGAAAAAAGCGCCACAAATCAGTAGTATGTTTAAAATCATGCAAAATATTACTCGCATATGATTAAATCATTATTATAAGCTGTCAATATACTCGGTTTATGTTTGAAGGGTAAAAATAATGTCTGGAAAGTGTTAGCAGGCATAATAACCTTTAACAAAATGGGTTAGCCTATCTATGTCTGGAAAACTGTTCGCTTAACTCAAGAACATTGCTGAAAGTGTAAATAGACAGCAAATCACTGCTCTATTTGAATCTGGGTTAGAAGTCAAGAAAGCACACTGTTCTCATTAAAAATACAATGTGCACTATGGGGAAAAATGAATCTTGTCAGTCTTCACTAGTGGCCTACCATAATGGAGTTACCTTAAATAGACACAGAGGAACGCATATTTGAAATCTAAATCCTTATATTTTATTATTGTATGCAGAATCATATCATAGCCTACCAAAGTGCCAGAGTTTGGCCCAGTAAGGCTATCTGAGTAAAAGGCTGTGATGCAAACACAATTTCTTAGTATTGTTTGTCAGTATCAGTAAATCAAATTCTGTTCTTCACAAGTACATAAAGCAGTTCTTCAATAGGCCTAGATAAATCTCAAATGTGTGCCCTATTGCACTGCAAGTTGTGCAAATTCATCTGATGAATTGTGTTGATGAATTTACACTGAGGTGAATCATGACCACTAGATGGGAGACTAATGCTTTAATAAATGACAGGAATCTTCAATTTGAAACAAGCCATACATGTAATGGCACTTTTTAGGCAGCTGGTAAAATAATGAAAACACCATTCAAATCAATATACTGTAGAGTTTATTGTGATGGAGCAGAATTGTTTGCAGCATCAACTGTTAGCTGTTAGATTAGTTGCTAGGTGAAGTGTATCCGATCATGAAAGGAAATACATCCTCACTGAGCTCAAAAAGCAATGTGGCTCTGAGTTTAATAAACACTGTACGGTGAAAGGCAATAAAACAGTTATGAAATATGGTTTAGGGGGTCTACAAGCTTCTGATATGTAGGCTAGTAGCTTGTGCCATGACTGACTGACTGTCAATAATGTGGACGTATATTGATGGGAGCTTTATGTAAACTTGCATCATGCTCTAATCACTGAGACCTTTTGTTCCTCTAACATTGACAACCTGAAATGTCCGCAAATAATTTTACCCCCCTCCCCTCCCCCCGTTTTAATATTTTCACATATTTTCATGACAATTATGCCCATCCCTACCCCCAACTCTCATCTCATGTAGTAATATCTCTTAGTAGCTATTTTAAAATAGTGACCACTCTAATCGACATTGTTTTATAGAATTACAGTAGGCCTACAATTATTATTTTAATATTATTTACAATGAAAAAAATCAAACGTCACTTTAAAAATGAAACCAAAATGACTAAACCTAAAATATATTTAAAAAAAAAAATGCAGTGTTTGGAAAGTTATTTTAAAAGTAATTTAGCAATATTTCACTACTAAAAAGTAACGTGAAATGAATAAAGCATCAGGCTGAAGGAAATGCAAATTCACGCCTGTACAGTAGAGGGCGCAGCTTGGCGCAGCTCCAACAAACCTGCAGAAGAAGACTAAAGTGATGTTTATCTTCATGGGCGTCTCGCAGCCTCCACATGCACACTGGATATGCGTCAAAATATTGTGTTTATTTGTGCTTTGCTCCTTTTTTGGATAAAAGCGTCTTCTACATATGCAGCCTATAAAATGTTACAATAATGATAATTATTATTATTATTTGCGGACACGGAGTTTTTGCGAAATGGAATTGCCATGTGCGTATTTTCAGTTGGCAATTTCAGTTTGAAGGGTGATGGAAACGCGGCTTTACTGCTCTGAACTTACCACTGCGTTTTATTTCTATAAATTAATTTCGTTTCAAATGGGGTCCAACCAGTTATTAAAGGTGTTAAAAAATAACTCTGTATCGAGGTTGCGGCGCGCACACCAGGGCCGGATTCAGCCAGCCCCACTAGGGGGTGCAGGTAGAATATCAGGGGGGGCAGCAAGTCTTTTTTTTTTTGGTGGGGGGGGGGGGGGGGGGTGAAATTGTATCATTTCACAATATAAAAAATATATATTGTGAAATGAAAAAATCCTATATCGTCCAGCTCTAATCTATCAGCTCCTTCGATCCATTTGATTTTATGTTGGATGCCCTTCCTGACACTACCCTCTGCATTTACCCGGGCTTGGGACCGGCACAAATAGGACACTGGCTTGTGCGCTGTTGAGGCTGCATTTATCTTTCTTTTTTTTTTCTTTTCTTTTTTTTGTCATCTGTCTGTCTGTCTGTCTGTCTGTCTGTCTGTCTTGCCTGTCTGTCCTTTCGTTTTTTATTTCAATCTTTTTTATTTATTTTTGGGGTTTTTTTTTTGTTTGTTTGTTTTAAAATTTTTTTAGCTAAATTTTTACACAGCTTATATCAGTCATTAGCATCAGTCGTCTGATTTTCTGTGCAAAAGTCCTAACAAATGCGTCCATATCTAGACCTGTTGTTATGGGGTCTCGTGCTCTTTTTGAGAGATCAAAATTAAGAGCTTCAACCCATGAACTGCTCCTTAAACAAAGATAAAGCATTGATTTGTATCATGACATTAAAGAGGGCTCAAACATCTTTTTAATTATGAGAGTCTCAGTCTACACATTACATTATCAATGGTGTTTTAGGATGCCAAACAATTATTATAATAATGTAATAATGATTTAAATATAATTATTCATGACGTAAAATCCATATAGCCTATTATTTAGGCTACTATATGAAAATGTATATTTTAAATATATATTTTAGTCTGCATTACACTATAATATAGGAAAATTAAAATACTTTTGTCCTTATTTCTACACTTGCAAGAAATAAACCTTGAGCTTGTATTTAGGGGGAAACACCAGAGCTGATCGCGTGAGCAAAGTGCACACGTTTCTCTAAATACCCAGCACAAACAGAATGCCTATTCTTAAAGTCTTGTGCTCTTTTATGAAAACAAAAAGCCATATCATGGTTTCGATTTTAGTTCATTGGCAAAATATAACGCTAGAGACCTTCATGTTAGTTTATACCTTTTACGTCTCATGTTCAGCAAAAGGCGGATTCGAACTCGAGTCCAAGCGCAAAAGTTCATCCACGAACGACACGCTCTACCATATACGCCACTGTCGCTGTTCCGTAACATGCGTGTTTTGTTAGAAATTAAGATCGCTACCGGCCTTTGCGAGATTGCGACCAGTAGCTACTTTGAATGAGGGATAGAGAGCAAAGAGCGCTCACTCTGACCATTTTTCTTGAAATATTTTTTAAATTTCGAATCTTTGCATGCCATAACGTTTGGGGGGGGCAGTCACGGCATTTGGGGGGGCATTGCCCCTCCTTGCCCATGCCTATATCCGGCCCTGGCGCACACTATAGGTTAACCGAGTATTAACCGAAAGGGCCTCGGTTAACGGTTAATGAAAAACTTGAAAACGTGCAGCCCTAGTTTGCAGGTATTTGTTCGTCCTTTCTTTGTTGATGACGAACACAAACTTTCTTCTAAGAGCAACAGAGTCGCGCGATGGCACGAGCGTCATCACTAAAGACACATCCTTTACGGCATTGGTCCTGGCTTTTGTTCACACAGCGCGCGTTCCGGGACTGATTACGGCAATGTTACTAGGTCCCCAACCTGGGATCAATCCCAGAAGCAATCCCAGGTCGTGTTTGCGTTCACACAGAAGGCGTTCTGGCAATTTGCCGGCAATTTCCTGGGATCAACTCGCTGTATGAAAGGGGCTAATGTTACTAGGTCCCCAACCTGGGATCAATCCCAGAAGCAATCCCAGGTCGTGTTTGCGTTCACACAGAAGGCGTTCTGGCAATTTGCCGGCAATTTCCTGGGATCAACTCGCTGTGTGAAAGGGGCTTAAGTCATACTAGCTTATTAGTATATTTGAATTGGAAAACTCTTTACTTTTGAGGTTGTGAATGTGTTGAGACATTCTTTTGATTTGGGACTCGGGGTCAAAGGAGATGGATGCCCAACTTTAGACTTTTTTTGTGTTGATTTAAAATTATTTTATGACTCTCTTTGTTTATCAGCTAATAAGAAAGCTGCTAAAACTACTTTGTCTCTCAAATAAATTATGGTTTCATTATAAATTACCTCCTGATTTTCTGAAGATTATTATTTATTCTATGTTTGTATTTCACTGTTTCTATTACTTTTGAGGAATACTGAATCTATTTGTGTGCACGCGAGATGAGTAAATGTATGATACATGACTGAGACTGAGTATGGATGAGTAAATTTAGTCAACAAATACAATAAGCATAATGTTTACGCAGCGCACTCACAACGCCTCGCTTACTTTTGATTTCTCTCAACATGGAAACTCGAAAGCTGTCAGTCAATAAATGAGAAAACAAAGTGCGTTGCCAATTTGAAAAAGTAACTCAGATATTTTGTCAATTTAAAAGCAATGCTGCGTTACTCTACCAGTTATTTGAAAAGGGTAATCTGATTACATAACTTTAGTTATTTGTAACGTGTTACCCCCCAACACAGCTAATACACTCGAAGGGTAAATAAGGTAAAAGTGGATCCTACCTTTTGAAAGGGTTCTGCCCCAGTGACAGCTTCTGTGCCTTTTCCTTTTCCTGAGAGTGTATTTAATTGTGGAGCAGAATGAGTTTAACTGAGCTTAAAATAATTTTACAATGCATACAATCTTTATGGTCCTATATCTCCTCTTCATATTCCCCATTACATGAAAAATAAGCTATTGTTCATTTTGGAAAGAAACAATGATGTAATCATATCTGGCACAAAGATGTAGCGCTGACATTCACAGATGCCTATGCTAACAACCCTGTTCAGTCCAAAATGAATCCTGACAAAAATTCATTTTCCCTTCATGAATAATTTAATCCGCAGTGGGATGATGATTCTTTTGTTTAACTTTTGTCGGCACAGAAATTGATTTTGTGGCAAATCTGCATTTTAGGGGGTTCTAATTCATGGATGTGTCACTGTCAACAGTAGCTATGAAAGAGAGATGGGTTTCGAGCTGCTTGCCGTATTTGCCCTGGCATAAAATGAATCACATAGTTGAATTGAAGACCTATTTTCATGCCACATTAGATTATAATCCCAGTGTGAGGTGGGACACACTGAAAATGAAACTTTGGATATTGAACACTTAATCATTGCAAGGGTTCAGGGGAAATTGAGCTATTCTACAGTCTCTTTGAATTTACAACTTCACAGTGCCGAGGGGACGAGACAGTGAAGGTCTGACTCTGAGTCTTGCATTGAAATACTTCAACCTGCGAGTCAGTAACATTTACAGGCTATAACTGAGACAAGTGCTCTACAACTGCTAACATTCAGACTAATATCCTAGAATTCAAGTGTCCAAAAAATGCTAATCTAATTTAACATTATCGACTCAAATATAGACAAATCCAATTATGGTATTTTGTAAATGTCTAGGACTCAAGACTTTTGTTTATTGCAAGAAAATCCATATTTTGTTCCTGTAGTAGGCTAGGCTACTGTGCATGTGTCAGGGAGTGTCTTGAAAACAAGAACACACTGCACAATACACAATATTACACATAACACTATGACAATGAACAATATTTCTACAGAAATTATGCTGGTGACACTTTACAATAAGGTTTCATTTGTTAATATTAGTTCATGTATTGTAATGTTAGTTTAAAACTAACAACGAGCAATACATTTGTCACAGTATTTAGTAATCTTTGTTAAAGTTAGTTAATAAAAAATACAGCCATTCGTTGTTTGTTCATGTTAGCTCACAGTGCATTAGCTAATGTTAACAAATACAACTTTAATTTTAATAATGTATTTGTTAATGTTGAAATTAACATTAATTGAGATTAATAAATGGTGAAGAAGTGCAGTTCATTATAAGTCGCTAAGTAATTACCTTATTGTAAAGTGTTACCGAAATGGGTAATAAGTTAATCTCAACATTAATTTTTAAGATAAAAAGTTGTATTTGTAAAAATTAGTTAATGCACTAACATCAAATTTTGTATATTATTGACAAAGATTCATAAATGCTGTAAACATAGTTCTCTCATATTACGCAAGTTTAGCTTGCACTACGGGAAAGATTCATCTTCTTGAGATATTAAAGGCAAAAATTATCCTTAATTTTGTGTCGATTGTCAATGCATTGCAGCAGCTAGCAGACCAAGAGCAGGCTGTCTAGCGACCATCATTTTCGAATCCATTCAGCTGATTTTCTGATATTTAGAAGAATATCAGTAACCAGACATACAGTTTCTGGTCTCATTGATACCATATACTATGGAAAATATCAGAAATATCTAAATATCAGAAAATCGGCTGAATACATTCGAAAACGGTAAAACCCAACTGTTTAACTCTAGGGGAATGGTACAATGAGCCTATTTCCAAAAAAGTGGACTATCCCTTTAATGCATTTACTAATTAATAAATAGGCCTTGTTTTATAGAATTTCCAATATCTTTCAAAAGTTCATTAATTTTCTTTCTTTTTTCTATCCAGCAAGGATTCAAAAGTGACAGTAAAGACATTTACAGTGCCATCACAGGCATAAATTACATTTTAAAATATATGTAACATAGAAAACAGATATTTTAAATCGTAATAATATTTCACAATATGACTGTTTTGCTGTATTTTAATCAAATAAATGCAGCCTTTTGAGCATAAGAGATTTCTTTCAAAAATGACTTGCTTATAGGGAAGAATTTTACCAGATATCGCTCAGGCAGATTTCAAGTTGTGTGTCAGAAAAAAAAAAACCAACAAGGACACTTACTAGTGTACAAATGTCTCCAATAAGACCCTCAGCGGACAGGCTGATGATATCACGATGGCTCGAGGGCAAGTTTGACTCCAGCTACTATATCTGATGCAATATTCCAGAGCAGAGCAAACCTAGAAAAACATGTGGCTTTTTCCATGACTTTCACTTCAAAATCAATTTTACAATTCCCTTACATTTCCATGACCATCATGACCCTCATTGTTGTGCCACAGATCAGAACACACATCTCATTTCTGTATGTCCTTCCTGCTCTCTTCAGTGCTGGATGCTGGAACTCTGCCCCTGGAAGGAGAGAAGTAATGACAATACTCACACTGACAGGAAATGAGATCTCAAAAGGCTAAATTTAAGGTGCCTGTTACTTAATCCCCATAATGCCTCACCAAGCATGAGCCGCCACATCCTCCTTCACTAAGAGAATCCATGTGCTCATAGTTTTACTGTTTATCCATTTGATCTTTTTATATATTTAAAAGTGATGTTCTTATCTTGTTTTAAAAATGTTTTATCAATTGTTTTGTATGTTTTCAGTCTTCCGTGCAGCACTTTGGTAACAAATTGGATGTGTTTTTTTGTTAGGTCACCTGCTACAGGTAATAAGAGATTCCAGGCCCTCTCTTCACGTCTGTGTGCCCATGTGCGAATTGTTCGGTAACCTAAATTGGCACAAAAGACCACTGTTGTACATCCTGCAAAGCCTTCTGTGGATGTAACACTCTGAAACTGTGCTCTCCACTGAGCTATGGATTATGGGAAGGATTCAACACCAGCCCCTCCCACTTCTGTTTTTCTGTTTCCTAGGGAACACTCCGTAGTCTCTCATCACGGTGATAGAGCATTCGGATGGATGTGGATCTGACAATACGGCACCCGACTGGAAGTGGTTGAGGAGCAGATCAATAAAATGAATTGTGGGTAATCCTACTTGGGCAGTCTCCAAATGTTTAAAAGACATTTGCTGTTTGGAATCTTTAAAAAACACTACTTAACATAGTACCACATTAAAGAGGCCATATTATGTATGCCCTTTCAAACATACATAATGCATTGTATGCATTTCTACATTTCTTTCCTTCTGATAAACACACACATCACACATACAGTATTTTTTAACATATTTTGTATTGTTACAGCACCTCTCTTCACAGTCTGTCAGTAACACTGGTTTACTTCCTGTCTCGATGAAGCCCCTCCTTTTGAAAAGAACAATGCGCTCTCATTGGTCAGCTGGACCAGTGTGTTGTGATTGGTCAACCACTTTGAGAGTCCTTACCATAACTGCGAGTTTCAAGATACACCGATACTAACAAAACTCAACCAGGCCTCGCCCCCTTTTTTTGTGTAGCCTTGGGCGTGAATTATATAAATGAGGAATATAGTGACATGTAAGTTCCCCAAAGAAAATCAAGCATATAATCGAGGCATTTCAGGGTCTGAAATCACATTTCAGACGCAGTAGGAACTTATCTTGGACAAGTACTTACTTTTCAACTGCTAAAAAGTATGTTTTATAAAGGATGAATGTGTGTATAAATGTAATCTGGACATACCAACCCGATCTCACGGGAATTCGTACGAATTTTACGAGGTGGCTAATTCGTAACAATTTGTACGACCTCACTCGTACGAATTAGTACGATTTTGCTAAATCGTACATATTTTACGAATTAGCCAATTCGTATGAATTCGTACGAATGACCTACCCCTGACCCCGCCCCTAAACATAACCGTCACGTGGGTTTAGACAAATTCGCACGAGTGAGGTCGTATGTATTAGCCACTTTTGAATCACTCGTACGAATTCGTACGAATTGGTCGTGAGATAGCGTAGGACATACTGCTATGATTGTCATGTCACCTTCCAACATTTGCATTATGCGTTGAAGCCACTGTCATTCACACATCCTCTCCTGTGGCCACATGGGATAGTAAAGTGGCCATTGTATGTGTCCACTTCAAAATTTTGCCTGAAGTAGGCCCTGTCCCAAATGGCCCCCTTAACACTTGTGGTCTTCCAAAGAGTCGTCATTTTCGTGATGTCACGTCACTTTGAGTGATGGGAAGAAGTCTGCTGCTGTGCATATTGATCGCAAAAGGGGCGCTTGCAAGCACCCTTCTAAAACCTAAAACGACAAATGGGACATCCTACATTCTCGTGGACTTCACTATCACGTGCACGCCATTGCAACTCCACAAGACTGTAAGTGCATATGACGTGTGCCATTTGGAATAGGGCCGAAGTAGGAGGTTCACTTTGAATCTTAACGAAATTGTACTAAATTTGAATAAAGGATTTTTAGAAGTAGGCGGATCCAAAGAGCACATCACGTAATTGCAATGCACCAATGGTAGTTGCAGGTGTTTAGTTGTAACTTTACCAGAACGTTTTCTTCGGCAAGCTATTTCGAACTCCAAACAAACTTTGTTTTGGTTTGATTTTGCTCAAAATGACATCACACCAGTTTGTTCTTCGATTTTGCTTCGCGGAGTCATTCCAGAAATCATGGCAACAGCACTATCCATTATTAATTTAATTGAGGAAGACGCAGACGTGTTATTCAAGCAATAATGGGAAGCCCACATGTGAGGTGTTTCATTTCTTTGTTGTTTAGAATCCCGTATTGAGTTTAATAAAGAACATCGTCTCATCTTCTGTCCATAACATACCGCGACTTCTTTAAAGAATGATCAACTTTAACGTACGCCAGGTAACCTGTAAATGCGAAAAAAACGTTTCCATTCCAGTTTTGCGAAATATTCCGTTTTCGAGCTGCCTGAAAAACCACCTCATGTGAGTGTAGAAATTTTTTTGCGATATATGGACGTTTTTGTGCAATTGACGTGTTTCCATTGGTCGTATTTAAAATTTGCGCAATTTAAAGAGTAAAGGAAACGTGGCTACTGCCTTGTGCTAAAGTGTAGCGAAACTTACCCCATAGCACCAGCGCCCCCTAGTGGTAATACTGGTGTAACTGGTTTGAAAGCGAATACATTCCGTGTGCATATCATGGCAAGTCTAGTGGACATAAGAACACAGCTCCAAATCGCAAAGAGTAATTTATTGTCCTGACATCAGAACATAATCCAAATCCAGCGTGATTATTTTTGTAGCTTGGTAACAACACAACTGGTACCAGGTCCACATTTCAAGTTTCATTTTCTCTGTTGGAATCAGAACATGAAGGTAAACAGAATCGTTTTTTTTTTTTTTATACTAGTCTTCTCGGGTTTGTTGCTTTCAGTGACACTGACATCTGCACATAAAAATTATATAGATCTATATTTATATTCATATTTATATATTTATCATTCTCTATTAACATCTCAGTGTAGCAGTTCATCATCTCTTGTCAAGTCAAACAGTAGAAGCAACCTGTCAGAAACAAAGCCTCTCATATAAAACACTGATCGACGTACAGCACACACTCAACTAACATTGAAAGACAGGTTTTTTTGTACATCTTTGGAGGGAATTAAGCTTGCAAAGTTAAGTTTTGCCCTCCTGGTAGTATTCCAGTGTTTTCTAGACTCGCTTAATTCCAGTAAAACACACTTATGAAAAAAAAAAAAATGCATGTACAAATCGAAGAAATTTTTTAACTGAAAAACTCAAAGAAAATGTCTCCAGTGCTGATTGAAGAGATTTGAAAATTTGGCACAGTCATTTAGCACAGAAAACCGAGATCACGGTCTAAAACAGACAGTTTTCCTGCAAATATGGATGATTAAGTAGCCGCATTTATTTTTTCTTCCACACCGAGTCATCAAGAAAGAAAAAAGTGAAATAAAAAATTAATCTATGTCAAAAATCTACATCTATTTTTGTGGGCAGTGAGAAAGCACTTCATCGACAAGGAGAGGAAAGGAGAGGAGAGTGGAATGATGCTCCGGTCTTCATCTGCTTTTTGTTTTTAGTTGCCACAGACATATTCACATTTTCAGAATGAACGATACTGGCAAATACATCCTTGCTCTTCGAATGAAATTTTGGGAAAGGGACATTGAAGGTTAATACATCTCTCCAAGGACTTTTTTTTTTTGTCTTTTTCTTTGTATTGTAAAACAAATACCTAAAGCCACAGGAAGAACCGAGTGGTCTGTGTAATTTACACAATGCACTTGTGTAATGCATCTCTAAATACTTTACATCAAATTAAAAAAGATCAAATAAAAATAGAGGGGAAAAATGTGGAAAAAAAGCTTTTTATCCACTGTGACGTGAAAAGAAAGTTTAGAAAAAGGTGAAAAGCTGTTCCCATAGCTTGTTTTACAAACTTAATTTTCTTGTGCTTACACACTTCGCCGCCTTCAACTATTCGTCTTTTTTCCTTTTACACTTTTCAAATACCTTTCAATACAAACCCACTTTCTACACCAAAGGTTAAGCTTTCTTTTCTCTTTAAAGTACGTGCTCTTTCTCATCTCACGCGCATTCGTTCTCTCTCTGTCAAGGCCTTCTTTTCTCTTTCGCTTTCTTTCTTTTTTTTTTTCCTCACTCATTTTCACCATGGAATCAGCTTAGATGAACAAAACTCTCTGAAAAATGTTTTGTGACACACATGCACATGCAGTTTCCCGGCCTCTCGACGTGCTCCAAGTCCTAAACCCAAGAGTCGGGGGACGCGGGGTAGTGACTCGTTTCGTAGTTGAGTTCGCTATAGGGCCGGGCGGCGGAGTAGAAGTCCACGTAGTTTCCGGTGGACTTGAGTCCCAGGTGCATATTCAGATCGTTGGCGGGAGGGGGGCGATGGGCCTGATCCTCAAAAAATGGCTCCTCAAAGTTCCTAGTGGAGTTTTGATAGATGGGGTAGGCCTCGTAGTCCTTGTGCGGGGGCTCCTGTGGTGCGGGAGGCACTGGGACCTGAGAAGAAAGAAGCATTTGTGAGTGAAGTTTGCGTCCAGGGGCTCGAAGGAAATATTTCGAAGGAAAAGTCAGCTGCCTTTTCCTCTATTCCAAGCTGATGTGCTTAACAATAAGAATGGCTATATCCATTTTTTTTTTTGATAAATGTAGGCCTACCGGTATTTTTATGCCTTGCAAACATCAACATTTAGTTTTCTGTGACATTTGGGTGCAAATTCTACTAGTCAACTTTTTTTTTTTTTTATCTCGTCAGCTACGTAGGTAAAACTATCTTTGAGTTTTTGTTAAACGTGCAAGAATGACTTGTGATAGTCTTGGTAGCATCAGTAAAAATCGGTTGAAAATTACAAATTAGTTAGTAATGTTTGGCCATGTACTGTATATATTTATGAATTATTGCCGTCTTAAGAGTTTCCTGTATAATTATTTAATTTACAGCTATTATTTCACATTTTATTTGTCTTGGATTTTTTAATATACTTAAAACTTCAATAATTTACAGCTATTAATGCATGACATTGTAAAAAAAACCCATAATGTTTAATATTTTTTAAAAAGTGTAAGAAAAATGTATAATAATATTATTAATAAATATAGAAATATTTGTAAAAAAAAATTTATAAAATACGTAATAAATAATACAAATATACATTTACAATTAGATATGTAAAATTATTAGTGCTGTCAAATCGATTAATCGATAATAATAATATTAATTAATAAATATAGAAATATTTGTTAAAAAATTTTCTAAAATACGTAATAAATAATACAAATATACATTTACAATTAGATATGTAAAATTATTAGTGCTGTCAAATCGATTAAACGATAATAATAATATTAATTAATAAATATAGAAATATTTGTTAAAAATATATAAAATATGTAATAAATAATACAAATATACATTTACAATTAGATATGTAAAATTATTAGTGCTGTCAGATCGATTAATCGCGATTAATCCCATTTAATGTGTGTGTATTTACGTATATGTGTGCGCTTGCATGTATATGTATATATATATATATATATATATATATACATATACACACACACACACACAGTATATATAAACCTATACAGTATATAATGTGTTTGTACGTGTGTGTGTGTGTATATATAGTATATATATATATATATATATATATATATATATATATAC